CCATGATAGAATTTTTTGAAAATTTGTGATTTTTTTTTTAATCCATGATCGATTTTTTTGAAAATTTGTTAAATTTTTTTTTTAATCCATATTATTTAAAGAGAAAATGAGAGAGATGATGATTCTGAGGCCACCGTATCCCAGCCATATTATTCATATATCGAGTCCTAACAGCAACAGTGTACGAATGAGCACGAAAGTACATGTGAGCATGAAGGATGGACAAGCTTCGGGGATTTTAAATTGGGAACACAACAAAATACTAACACTCAGGGATTTGGGAATAGTCAGACGCCTGCTAATATCGATGATTCGTTTTTAGATCGAATCAATGAATTGTTAAACGAATTCAATCAATAGCACCAGCGTGACCAAGAAGAACAATAACGTCGTCTATCATTTTATTTTTAGATCATATGTTACTAATTTTATGCTTTATTGTAGTCCATGTATGTTGATATACTTATTCCATGATAATTCTATGTTTATCCTTTTGTGTGATGTAAATTAAATGCTGAACGGCGGTTCATGCAGGGAAAGAACATATCAATATTCGCATATTCATTCAAAAACATGAAAATTCTTAATGGAGTACCCTCATTTCTTATTGAATTCCTAAAAAACAATATTTATAATGAATTTTAATAATTTTTTCGGATTTTTTTTAAGCTTTATTCTGACCGATTCACCCAATTCTCGATCCGGATCTTCGATTCACCGATCCGGATCGATTTTTTGGGTGCCCGATCAGGATCACCGATCCGTTTTTTAAACCATTGGTTAAAACCATGGGGGGATACGCATTACAATCCAGTCATAGATTTAAGGAAAGTTGTTTTTGAAATATATTTTGCAAATACATACATAATCAATCCTAGAGGCGTAGAGATGGGCCAAATGTCACTTCAATACAGAAATGTGCCACATTTTATTTCAATATTCTCCGAACAATATTTTAATAGATTCAGTCTGATTTCCGAAGGGGCTTCAATCAAATGACTTGGTGTGGTTGTTGAATGTTATCATAATCAAACTAGTCCAATCAAAGCTGTCACCTCATCCCATGATTCCAAACAACCAAAATTAGAGATATTGATTTCAACTTGTTTACAACCAAACTCCATTTTTACGTGAAACTAAATCAAGAAAAGCTCCAGCAATCAATCCAATTGGACCGACTAATTTGGACCAATATCGATAACACTCTCATGACACTTAACACACACAACATACACCTCCTTTGGAGTAGTCGCCAATGCCCCAAAAATCTAGGTACGTGTTCCTAACAGGAAAAAAACACACATTAAAGAAACGAAAAATTATTTCACGCGGGCTGGACCACATTTCTACAAGTAAGAGTTATTTGCTACAAATTTATTTTTAAAAATTGATAGAAAGTGGGATCAATCAAATTCCACTCTAAATCTAGAATTGAACAGATCTACTCTCATATCAGCGGCAGAGCCGGCATCAATCTTATGCACGAAATATTGAAATAAAACAATAAAATCTATTTAAATTTAATAAAATAATTATAAAATGACCTAAAAATGGAGAAAAAAAGTTATGTGCCCGGGCCAGTTGGCCCGGAACACGCAAGGCTTTGAGACCTCGCCCGTATCAAGACCGTAGCTATGATTATACCATGAGTCATTCGTGTGTCTCTTTTCAAATTTGACCAAGCCTTGATTTGGTTGAACTAGAGTTTTTCTGATCTAAAACTAAAGGTTGTAGGTTGAAAATGATTCATGGGTTAGGATTTTAGGGTTTGTCTAGATCTAAGGTTTGCTCACTTACTTTCTTGGCCAATGTGCTCTAACCCTAAAAGAGTCACAAATATGTACTTTTATAGATTGAAAACCGCATGGAATAGATAATTACAAAAAACAAGCAGGTTTGTCAGCCTAGAATCAAATTTTGAGGGTCAGAGCAGACTCGAATTTGGGCAACACACCGGCACAAAGTGTGTCGCCCAGCCTAGATTCATTGAATCTGGCAAATATTTAGCTGGAAGCTGAAAAGTAGGATATTGGGATGATCTGAACTGGGCGACACAGCCTGTGTCACCCCCATATCTGGGCGATACACTTTGTGTCTCCCCACTTAGATCAGGCCCAAATCAAGAATTTTTCAGTTTCGGGGTGATATCCGCGCTTTTGAGTGATTACCTTAAAAAAATCAAGTTAAAATAAGATGTTTTGCTATTTTTCCTTGATTATTCCCAAAATCAGTGAGTTTGCAGGATATTAGATCAAAAGATGAGCACTCTGGATTATGGTTTTTTGTGGTTCAAATATTCTCTAGAATAGTACGATTCTAAAGATTTAAAAAAATCATGAAATTTATCAGTTTTAGAAATGGGGTTGTCTACAACGGTTAAGATGTATAAAGCATGCATATTAAAGATGGATGGCCCATCTAAAAACAATTGAAACTAACAATTCAAATGTTTTTTTAGTAGAATTGTTATTTTAATTTTTAAAATTTATTTATTTTTTCGTATTCATAATCTTCATGTTAAAGATTATATGTATTTAAAACTTAAGTCCAAAAATCCATCTCAAGAATAAATTTTTAAGAGGCGCCGCATTTCTGCATGGACTCGGAGAAACCGGGTCGTTAAAAGAAAAAGCACATAATAGCACCCATGGGACTTTTGTAACTCAAAGGAAGCAATGCACATCCACATCGCACTCCAATTCAGCGGTAAAATTTGCGTGTTATCCCATTTCAGATTTTTATAGTGCTCTTATTAATTGGAACATTTTTATATAAAAGAAAGATGCAGTTCCTATAAGGCCTAATAAAATAAAGGCTTCATCTCGAATTCTCATTAGGGTATCGAAAATCTCCACGACAACTCGAAAATCTCTACGATGATTCTAAACCAATTTTTAGCATCTATCATGAAATTTGAAGGTTAAAGCTTAAAAAGTGGTATATTTTATAGATCCGTGAACACTTTTTTAGGGTGAAACGGCCAATCTAAATAGTGTATTATAAATATGCACTATTTTTAGAGCTTGAAATCTTAATTTTTTCACAACCATAATGTTCAAGGCCGAGATGATTGATTTAAAGGTTATTTAAATGTTAGAACTACAATTTTCGGTTAGTTTTGAGGTGGGGCTTTACTTATTGGGAAAAGTTTATATAGAGCTGAAGCTCTAAACAATCAAATTAGAGCTTACCTCAAAAATTTCACTAGAAGAGGTTGTTTTGATGTCCAAATATCCTCAAATTAATCATCTCGACATCAAGATGCATAGACATGAGAAAAAATGGATTTCAAGTTTTGAAAATAGTGTATTTTGTAACACATTTTTGGACCGTCAATTTTCAAGATTTTCAAGTTTTAATAGATATCTCAATATACACTATTTTTGAAGATTTAAACCTTATAATAGAGATAAAAATATATTTTGAGGATATCAAAAAGATTTTCAGTATTGAAATCGCATTTCTCGACACTATTTAAAGGTAGGCTCTAATTTGATTGTTTAGAGCCTAGGCTCTATACAACCCTTACTTATTTTAATAGGAGTGCAGTCCTATCGAAAACATTTTCCATTTTATTTATATAACAGAACGCCATCAGATATGACATGCATTCCCATGAAAAAAGTAGGTCAGATTAGGTGTTCAGGCTCACATTGCGAGTTCAGATATCCAATATATCTCAAATCTCAATTCCACATGCTAGCATTTGGAAGTATGAGAGAGAGCGAGGGAGAGCTTTGAGCTCTACAACAACCAAAACCTCCAACACCACATTACTCAAAAGTTTTTTGGGGTAAATCGTAGGGAAAATGCCCGTACTTGTTTTCCATTAATATAAATAAAACAAATTACAGCTCAGTATTTTACAATCCTATGATAGAGAAATTGGAAAA